CATCCTCTGCATTACCAGTTTCTCTCAGGTGGCTTTTTGGCTTTGTGGCTTTTGGCGGCTTTCTGGCTTTGGCTTTTTGCATCCTCTGCTTTCCCAGTTGGTTTTTGGCCGTGGCTTCCTGCATCCTCAGTTCCTCTTGCCCCCCTTTCAATTGAAATGCCACCCCTATTCAAATCATCACTTTTTTCGATCATCATGGGGGGGCCAACCCCCACTACTATGTAGATTTTTTGCCCCTCATTGAATCATCACTTTTTCGATCGTCCCCCGCCCTAATTGAATCATCACTTTCTGGATCATCATGGGGGGGCTGCTCCCCCCCAACCCCCCCCCCGCTACTTGTAGATGTTTGGCCACAACTTGAATGATCACTTTTTCGATCATCATGGGGGGGCTGCCGCCCCCCCCCCCCAACCCCCCCGCTACTTTTTAGATTGTTTGCCCCCTCGCTGGTTTTTGAAATTTCTTGCCCCTAATTGAATCATCAGTTTTTCGATCATCTGGGCGGGGGCTGCCGCCCCCCCCCCCCCAACCCCCACCCCCCGCTACTTTTTACATTTTTTACCCCTAATTGAATAGTCACTTGTTCGATCACCATTGGGGGGCTGCCCCCCCCGCTACTTCTCAGATTTGTTGCCCTAGTTGAATCATTATTTTCTTGATCATCGAGCTGCCACCCCCCAAACCCCCCCCGCTACTTTTTAGATTTGTGGCCCCCATTTGAATCATCACTTTTTCGATCGTCATGCGGCAGCCCCCCACCCCCGCAACTTCCCCGCCACTTCAAGATGTTTTGCCCCTAATTGAATCATCACTTTCTGGATCATCATGGGGGGGGGCTGCTGCCCCCCCAACCCCCCCGCTATTTTTTAGATGTTTGGCCACAACTTGAATGATCACTTTTTCGATCATCGTGGGGGGGGCTGCCGCCCCCCCCAACCCCCCCGCTACTTCTTAGATTGTTTGCCCCCTCGCTGGTTTTTAGATTTCTTGCCCCCTAATTGAATCATCAGTTTTTCGATCATCATGGGGGGGGGCTGCCGCCCCCCCCAACCCCCCGCTACTGATCCAGAAAGTGATGATTCAATTAGGGGCAAAAAATCGAAAAGTGCGGGGGAAGTTGGGCGGGGGGCTGCCGCGTGACGATCGAATGATTCAATTAGGGGCAAAAAATCTAAGGGGAAGTAGATTTTTTGCCTTCTCGCTGGTTATCTAAATTTCTTGCCCCTAGTTGAATCATCAGTTTTTCGATCATCATGGGGGGGGCTGCCGCCCCCCCCCCCCAACCCCCCCGCTATTTGTTAAATTGTTTACCCCTAATTGAATCATCACTTGTTCGATCACCATGGGGGGCTGACCCCCCCCCCCGCTACTTCTCAGATTTTTTGCCCTAGTTGAATCATTATTTTCTTGATCATCGAGCTGCCACCCCCCCCCAAACCCCCCCTCTACTTTTAGATTTGTGATCATGCCGTAGCCCCCACTTCCCCGCCACTTGAAGATGTTTTGCCCCTAATTGAATCATCACTTTCTGGATCATCATTGGGGGGGCTGCCGCCCCCCCAACCCCCCCGCTATTTTTAGATGTTTGGCCACAATTTGAATCATCACTTTTTCGATCGCCATGCGGCCCCCCCCCCCCCAACTTCCCCGCCACTTCAAGATGTTTTGCCCCTAATTGAATCATCACTTTCTGGATCATCATGGGGGGGGGCTGCTGCCCCCCCAACCCCCCCGCTATTTTTTAGATGTTTGGCCACAACTTGAATGATCACTTTTTCGATCATCGTGGGGGGGGCTGCCGCCCCCCCCAACCCCCCCGCTACTTCTTAGATTGTTTGCCCCCTCGCTGGTTTTTAGATTTCTTGCCCCCTAATTGAATCATCAGTTTTTCGATCATCATGGGGGGGGGGCTGCCGCCCCCCCCAACCCCCCGCTACTGATCCAGAAAGTGATGATTCAATTAGGGGCAAAAAATCGAAAAGTGCGGGGGAAGTTGGGCGGGGGGCTGCCGCATGACGATCGAATGAAAGTGTTAGATTTTTGGCCTCCTCGCTGGTTATTTAGATTTCTTGCCCCTAGTTGAATCATCAGTTTTTCGATCATCATGGGGGGGGCTGCCGCCCCCCCCAACCCCCCCGCTACTTGTTAAATTGTTTACCCCTAATTGAATCATCACTTGTCCTCTACTTTTAGATTTGTGGTCATGCGGTAGCCCCCCCCCCCAACTTCCCCGCCACTTCAAGATGTTTTGCCCCTAATCGAATCATCACTTTCTGGATCATCATTGGAGGGCTGCCGCCCCCCAACCCCCCCGCTATTTTTAGATATTTGGCCACAATTTGAATGCTCACTTTTTCGATCATCGTGGGGGGGGCTGCCGCCCCCCCCAACCCCCCCGCTACTTTTTAGATTTTTTGCCCCCTCGCTGGTTTTTAGATGTCTTGCCCCCTAATTGAATCATCAGTTTTTCGATCATCATGGGGGGGGACTTGTTCGATCACCATTGGGGGGCTGCCCCCCCCCCCCCGCTACTTCTCAGATTTTTGGCCCCAGTTGAATCCTTATTTTCTTGATCATCGAGCTGCCCCCCCCCCCCAAACCCCCTCTACTTTTAGATTTGCGGTCATGCGGTAGCCCCCCCCCCCAACTTCCCCGCCACTTCAAGATGTTTTGCCCCGGATCATCATGGGGGGCAGCCCCCCCAACCCCCCCGCTATTTTTAGATGTTTTGCCCCCTCGCTGGTTTTTAGATTTCTTGCCTTTATTTGACTCATCAGTTTTTCGATCATCATGGGGGCGGGCTGCCGCCCCCCCAACCCCCCCGCTACTGATCCAGAAAGTGATGATTCAATTAGGGGCAAAAAATCGAAAAGTGCGGGGGAAGTTGGGCGGGGGGCTGCCGCATGACGATCGAATGATTCAATTAGGGGCAAAAAATCTAAGGGGAAGTAGATTTTTTGCCTTCTCGCTGGTTATTTAAATTTCTTGCCCCTAGTTGAATCATCAGTTTTTCGATCATCATGGGGGGGCTGCCGCCCCCCCCAACCCCCCCGCTACTTTTTAAATTGTTTACCCCTAATTGAATCATCACTTGTTCGATCACCATGGGGCCCCCCAACCCCCCCGCTACTTCTCGGATTTTTTGCCCCAGTTGAAACATTATTTTCTTGATCATCATGGTGGGGGGCTGCCACCCCTCCCCCCCAACCCCCCCGCTACTTTTAAGATCTGTGGCCCCCAATTGAATCATCACTTGTTCGATCATCATGGGGGGGAACTCCGCCCACCCTAACCTACGTTGTTAATTTGTTTGCCCTTAGTCGAATCATCACTCCCCCGACCACCACTGGGCGGGCTACCGCCCCCCCCCCCCCAAGCCCTCCGCTACTTGTTGGACTTTTGGCAGAGATTAAAATGCAACCCTACATCATGGGGAGGCTGTTTTTACCATCATGGACCCCCTCGCTGCTTTTTAACATACATACATACATAAATACCTACCTACCTTCCCGGAGAGGAACTGGTGATGCTGAGAATGTAGGAATTCGATTTGCTGGTGATGCTGGTGATGTTGGATGGACATGCGGGGGATGTTGAAAACGATGCTGATGATGTTGACGGGCTAGTGTACACTTTAAAATACAGTATTTGCTAGCCAGTCCGGAAAACAAAAAAAAGTTTCCCAAAATAAAACACAAAAACAAATTAAATCTCGACCCTTTTTGTTTGTTTGTTCTTCTTCGTCTCTCCTGCTCTATCTCTCCTACTCTGTTTTTCTATTTCCAAGAACATGAGGAAACCCCGGCCTATACGCCTTTGTCGTGTAAACGCCCAGACCATCGCAAAAGAGTAACCCCGCAGCTACAGCACGTGGTGATGAGACCGTGTCCGTGCGCGTGCACTGCGTGTTCCTTTTGATACACATGTTTCTCAGTAAATGCAGCCCTGAGTGCATTAAGTTTTTTCTTGATGGCTAAAAAAGTTTTTTTTTGATTGCTAAAAAAAGTTTCTTTTTGATTGTTAAAAAAGTTTTTTTTTGATATCCTTCCCGGGGCAGAACGACTCGTACTAGTTCGCAGGCCATGCAAGTCTCTAAGGATGTCGCATGACGACAGCCGACTCGTGCGGGAATAGAGTAAACCTTGGGAAACAGTCGGCACACCTTCGGAAGCCTCCGTGCTGAAAATCGCAGTGTGTGTAGAAACGCAACACAAGTGTATCTAAATCTCAAAGTCAGCAACCCTTCCTGAATGGAAGTTCACAAGCAGTTAGCGGGGTCCTAACGCCTCACGTCCAAGCTCTTTGATGCTGTGTCCAGGGCATCTCCGCCATTGGCGATTCTTCGCCGTCCTCAGCCAGAAAGCGCAACAAATCACACGCGAGGCGAGGGACCTTTCAAGGCTTCATGGAAAACGCCTTTCCACATGCACAATTGGAAAGTAAATCATTGCGGCACTGCTCAATTCCAAACAGCTCCAGCCCTCGCATCAACACCTGCAGTCGTGACACGTTTCATGTTCTAGCTGTGTCTCCGGGAGCAAACACCTTGTGGTGAATTGCCACAGGCAGAGAAGTTCCCTTCCCCCTATCTTGTCTTGTACCAAGAGGCCTGGGCAAAATTGCCACTCGGGAAGATCAGGCGTCTTAATGGGTTCTGTGGGTCTCCCCTGTCTCCCCCTTCTCGTCTTCCCAACCACCAGACCACCAGAGCGCCCGTTGCTGACTGAGGCAAGGCACCATGACTGCCACGAACCGGGCTTCAAACCTGGAGAGCGGCCGAACTTCGCGCCACGCCGGCCACGTCGGACTTGGATCCGTCGGACTTTCAACGCAAACGTTTGTGGCAACCCTGCCGTTTGCGCAATTGACAAGCCACATTCAGCTGTCCCAACTCGACTTCCCTTTTTCTACATCGGATGAAGAAGCGACATCACAAGAACACAAGAACACTGGCATTTTGCGTCACCTCTCCCCCCACCACAGGACCAAACCACTCCATCCAACCGAATCTGTTGCACTGGCAAAAGAATTGCTGGCATGCGGTAGGCCTTTACCTCTGAATTGCGTACATATTAATGTCGCACGTTCCCAGCTGACATGGAAAAAATGACACGACTGAGCACCGACAAAACAAACAACGATGCCATGCCATCATAACTCAACCTTTCCGGAAAGGGGGTGCCACAGCTTCATGTCAGTTGCAATTCATTCCCTCTTTCAACATAGGACTCGGTGAGTCCTTCCTCACACCGGTGTCCAAAACCATGAAAGGGCAGCACTCATTTGCACTTGCTATTGTCCCTGGCTGACCTTCAAATACCCGCGAGTTCAGTCCTCTTTGCGTTCAACCCATGCTGCCACGGGGAGGTGCAAATCCCGAATTCATCCAAGGCTGCCGCGGCCAGTCTGCTTGGACGACTGCCTGGGCCCGAAACGGATATTGGCCAGTCATGCTCGCATGCCCGGCAACAAGCCACCCGTCGGGCAGTCGGACCGAGGAATGTCAAGAAATTGCCCTGTGCTGGGGACAGCGCCAAGACTGTAGCATCGTTTGTCCATACCAATTTGTCACTCACATATCTTCTTCACATGGGCCGAATATGTGTCTAAATCCTTCTAAAAAAGTGACTCCTCAACTGTTGCTGCACTGCGCTGCGTGTGTCTACAGTAGCTGAAGACTGAAGACCTCATGCCAGGCAATGGCAGTGTCTGTTGTTCTTAGATGATCTGAGCCAGTCTGCAAGCACGTCCACACTCGCCACTGCACTTGCTCAAAGGCCAATCTGGGTATGGCTCAAAACTATCAGTTGATCCGAGTCGCTCAAGGGACACATGGGCCGTTCTGAGGGTGCTGTCTGTTTCTGGAGCCATACCCAGCTCGTTCCTTGGAACTACCACTATACCAGTGCAAAATGCCAACAAGGAATCCTCCAGTGTCTACATTGCAACATCGCAAGCTCAGCAACTACAATGAGTTGGAAATCGGCTACAGAAAGCTGGTGCAACGAACTGTCAAGTAATATGAGGTCAATGACATTCAAAAATCATGCTCGCGGTGAACTCCATTTGAGCGCAAAACTGGCCGCAAAGCCACTCAATCAATGGAAAACCAAGAGCCAGTGGTCTGCTTGCAGAAGCTCTTCTGACGACCAATGGCAAATTGTGATTGCTGCAAGCATTATCTCTCGACGTGGCTCGAAGAGGAAAATAGCGCCTTCGGCGCACAGTTTATCGAAGCCAGTCGAAAATGCTTTTGGCGAAGCTCCCAAGAATGCTCAGGATCTGTTGAGTTTGTCAAACAATATATTTGGTTGGCATAGACTGGCTTGCTCAAACGGCTTTGCATGGAAACGTGTCAATGGAGTAGTGGGGTTCCACAAATGTCCACAAAGTGTGCTCGGTCTGCGCGAAAATGGACGTTTGTCACTGGTGATACATGGCGGCCTCACGTCCTATTCGTCAGCGGTGCCTGGTGAGGAACCGTTCCCAAAACATGGGGCGAACCTTTAGCACTTCAAAATGAAACCTCACCGAAGTCATACTCCGTAGTAGTGGAGTTACATTGCATGGATATCCCCTCGCACATGCTTTACCTTCAAACCCTCATGCCTTTCTAAGTATGACGTCTCTTCAGGATGGCAATGGGCCGCTTGAATGAAGTCGGGTTCACATGACCAGCTTTGCAGATGGTCAACTATCGGGGAGGCATTTTGAATGGGGAACCTTCGATACACATCATTTGCAAAGAGATTCTGTCAGGCTGTTCCAACCATTCAAGTTCGTACCATCCCAAGTGGTGCAGCCGCGCCTTGCCGCAACATGTTCATCTCATGGTCAAGGGTCACAATGCGCATGCCGTCCTGCAACGCAAACCGCGAGCCAGAACATCTTTCGGCATCAGCTCTTCTCATGGCGTGCAAATCAAGTATGTGAAGCCTTGTGGGTAAAAACAATCCCACAGACTTTCGCGCTTTTCCTTGGCCATTGTGCCAATGAGGATGTGTTGTATTGGGGGCCGTTTGCTGAATGTCCACCATCCACTAACCACGTTTGCAGGCGTTCCCTTTTGAAATGTTTCAATCTTTGATACTCATGCTCGATACTCTTTTGACCTGCAATGGACAAACTCGATTCAAAGAGTAAAAATGCTGGAAGCCTGCTGAACCCAAACGCGCGCATCCTCCGTTTGCTCAACTTGTTCGCTGTCCATCCCAGGCACTCACCGAGCCAAGAGGCCGTGTAGGCAAGACCCCTCGGCATCTGGCTCAGCCGCTTGCCTCCCCTTCACATCTTTGGGCAGTTTCTACAACCACGACTCCTCAACAAACTCCTGGCGGTGTCCCTTGCATTAAACCATGTTTTGGAAAAGAACACCAACGCCGCAAAGGCTTGAGCCGATGCAAACTTGAGCAAAGCACGCTGGGCCTGTCAGTTTGACGCGTACCAAAGAACCCACGAGTGAGGTCCTTGACGGGGGTATAGCAGGTCTTGATGCGCTGGCCTTTATGCAAAGCCTGCGAGGACATGAGGGTGTCTGCAAATGGCGTATGGGACCCCCATTGGAACCCCTTCAAAACAACCAAAAAGGAGGCCTTGCAAAAAGACACCCCACGTGGACCACCGAAGTAAGTGTACCGTCAGTGGAGGCCGGATTGAAGAGATAGTACCACACAAGATCCAGTTACCCTTCGTTGGACCTTGATCTGAAAACTGTGCGGCTGGCGCCGTGGCGCGGCTTCCGACTTCACGAGAAAAATAGGGCCTGTGCATCTCCGCTAGTAGAACCGCAACTCGCCGTCTCTGCGAAGCGTGTCTAGGGACATTTCATGTCAGCAAGGCCGCGGAGCGACGTTCATCGCAAATCACTGCGAAATGGTCCGACTCCTAATGTGTGCCATGGACATGATTTCCTTGTTAGGCGGCTACTCACTTTCCCACAGGTTTGAAAGCCATCGTCACGCCCTGCCCGCAAACCTGACAGCATTTGCGACATCAACTGCCTCACAAGCGCCACAAATGCCAGCGCGGCCTCAGGGACAGAATCACGAAACACTGAACACAAACAAACTGCATACGCATACGGATAAGTCATAAAGATGTTAGAACCATTGGATCATGGTGCATGACCTGAACAATCATGGATTGGGGCTACATCCACTCTGCAACGCGTCCGCCGTTGCTGTGGCTACAGAATGGATCCCCTTTTCAAGCCGCTCCTAAATGGAAAAGGGGTCACACAGCCAAATTTGCCCCCGGAGACACCCAAGTGTCTTCTCTTACTCGGAAATCGCAGTCTTGGCCCCTTGCAGTTGTAGGGGATGCGGATCTCGAAGTCTTTAATGGAGGACTCAGGTGAACATCGCGACTCTGAAGCTTGCTGCTCTCAGTCCAAATATCTTCAGTCCTCCAGCACCGTCTGCTGCGAGAAGACCATCTTGGTGTCGTTGTTGATCTGCACCTCATAGGCTGCAAAGATTCCGCAATGCAATCTTAGGACTGGACAATACAGGAACCAGGAACTTGGCAGGCGCAAAATAGTGCCACCTTCTCGTTGACTTTGAAAAGAAAACCAGCACTTGACGCTGAGGAGTCGTCAACCCCAATTCACCACAGGTCACTGTCAACGTGTCTCTTTTCACCGAGGCCATCCGTGAGACGCTCCAAACCTAGCGCCTTTGTAGAATGGCGAGAGATTCGCCCTCGACTGAAAATCGAGATGCAAATCATGATCAGCTCAATCCGAACAATGCAAACGCCGTGTCTCGTTGGAGGGTGGGGTCCACAATTTTCTGGCAAACCCCAGTCAAGCTGGCCCATCAGCTGCTGACCTATCAGCTGCACATTATCAGATGGCCGGCCGGCTATCGCTTTCTCTTCAGCTGGCCTGGCAGTGGCCCCAGTGTTGCCTTTTTGGGTTGAGTTACCCTCGGAAATCATCTAGAATCTAGACATCCTTTGGGGCCTGGTCGGTCGACCCCTCCATTGCTCCACGCAATGAAAACATCAACGCCAGCCATGGCAAGCACTCAACATGCAAGGTATTGTGCCAGGATAAAGATTTCTTTAGTTTGCAGCTTTTTTTCCTTATTTTGACCCCGATCAAGGTGACTCGCGCCTCCGCCGCGCTTGCGCCTTGGGGTCAAACCCTTGCGCGCCGAGAGTTCGGTTGCGGGCGGTCAAGGCGCTGGCCCGCGGGCCCCGTCCAAAGCGGAGGCCACGTTCTCGCGCACACCCCGAAGATTGCGCTTGGCCTAGGCCCCAAGGGAATTCTCGTCGCATAGGGAACCTCCCAAAAGAACCCAAAAGAAACACACATTTTGAGAGGAACGTCTTTTTGGGAGGTCGCCATTTTGGACGATAATTTGAAGCGGGGGTCAGCTGAACCAGGCATCCGGCATCTTCGTACTCCTGCAAAACCCCACCACGTCCTCAGGGTTGAGCTGGTCTGTGTTGGTGGCTTCAAAGAAACCAAAACCTAACAAGCAGTTTTGTGGGGTCATATGATCATGTGATAAGCCAGTGTCCAAAATACTTGCCTGTGGTGTATTCATTCCGATGTTAGGACGTGCCATATCGTTGTTCAGGTCTTCTCAGGTTTTGTGGTATCGTCTTGTTTAGCGCGTTTTAAATTGTTTAAAGAATACAATGTGCATGAAACACTCCTACAAAAAGCAAATGACGGAACATGTTAAAGCTAGCTCATATGATCATGACAACAACCCATCTCATAGTCTCATGATGGCATGATCTCATGATCTCATGATCTCACGATCATCATCCCAAGCCTCTGCCTTTGCCGCGGCCTTTTCTGCCGCTGGCAGCACCTCGCATGCCCGCGTTGTGTGCTGGCAGCTTTTCATGGCTTCTGTCTGACTTAGGGGCAGACTGCGCATAATATCGCCAAAGTCGGCGGCTGCCTGAGTTGCTCATTGAGGGCCGCGAACAGACAAAAAAAACAACTGGCGAGCTGGCATCGAAGAGGGAGACGGCTCCACCAGACGTGGCGCGGCTTTCCCTGCTACGGCAAATCAAAGCCCAGGATCTGCAAGGACTCTGAAAGAAAATCCAAACGCTGATCAAAAAAGGTATTTGTTTGGTGCTTGGAAATAAACTTATCCATCCATGTTCGTCAAATCCGTGAACAGGCAACCGCCTCAGGGTTTGCTTCTGTCGTCGCAGCTCGGCCTGAAACGGCTGATCCCAAAGAGTCTGCTCCACCCCGGAAAGCTTGCGCATGTCCACAGCAGGCGCCTTCTTGACTTTGACTCGCTGCATGGTGTCCTCTTCAAACCTGACCGCGCATAAGGTACCAATCACTCAAGAGACAGCACCAGTCGCCGAGGCAGCCGCTCTTGCTGTTCTTGGAGAAGCCGCTTTGCTTTCTGGGCACCTGACAAGAGAAGCTCAAGAAGCTGAGTCCACACAAAGTTCAAGGCCGCTGCGTGCTGAGAGCTCTTCGGCTACGACCTCTTTGGGAGCATCTGTGAACTCCTAGCCAAAATGCAGACTTCAGATCGCATTGAGAGAGAGAGAGAGAGTCAAATGCGAATGTATCCAATTGGGTCTCCCGGTCCAAATATGT